TTCTGGCCTCTGCGGTCGCTGCAGGGGTTGGGGCAGGGTGGATGGTGGTGGCGGCGGCGGCGGGACAGTGACAGTGTGGTCGGCGGTGGCGGTCGACACGGAGTTTGCGACAGGTACGCGAGTGGGAGAAGAGGTAGACGTTGTCGGATTGATGGGGCATTGCGTCCGAAAGTATCCAACGAGACCGATCCGTCCGCGGAATGCACGTTGGCATCGCGGGCATGTTAGAAGCCGTGGATGGTTGGCATTGGGAGGACGAGACACTTGTGATTTTCAAGTATCCTGTTTGGCTTTGGCGGCGGCGATCTGAGTTACTTTGAGATGACAGTCCCAGTCTTAACTTATCCAGTTCGGTCTGTTTTGGGCGAGGTCCCCCGTGTCTCTGGATTAATATGCAATCGCCTAAGATAATTCTTCATCGTGCCATTGTAGCGTCGCTTAGGGCCACCCAGTCGGCGAGCAAAGGTGGCGACATCACCAAGGAAGAGTCGTTTCAGTAGACGTATATTTTCTATACTCATGAGGTGGCCGCTCCAACGTAGTTAGGGTTGCCTCAGCATAGCGTTAGTAATGAGAATTCTGATCCGTTCTGGGACTTCCGTGTCAGGTCTCCACCCCACAGAGAAGTGTCGTCAGAACGACCGTTTTGATATCCATTTGGGGACCGTGGCTATCCCACACGAATTTCTGCAGCCGGCCGAAGGTTTGGCTGGCTTTGAAGATTCGGAGGGCCACTTCGACGTCCGTCCTGATGCAGTGAGACCTTGTGCTGCCTAGGTACCTGAAATTATCCACGGTCTTAAGTTAGGTGCCTTTGAGGCTGGTGCGAGGGGCACTATATTCAGCGGTCGATGGCTGTTGATGCATGATTGCCGTTTTGTTCGTATTGATGATCAGTCCGAAGTGAGCGCAGTTAGAGGCAAAGGGATCCACGTTCCGTTACATATCTTCTCCGCTCTTGCTATTGAGTGCGGAGTCGTTGGCGAAGAGCAGATTGCGGGTATTAGTTGTGGACATTCGCATCCGGTACTGCATTCGTCGGCCGTCGAGAAGGTGCCCGTCGGGGCTGCAATCGGTGCGGATCCCGGGCGC